AGCTGGGATTACAGGCGTGCGCCACCATGCCCAGCTAATTTTTGTATTTTTAGTAGAGACGGAGTTTCACCATGTTGGCCAGGATGGTCTCGATCTCTTGACCTCATGATCCACCCGCCTCAGGCTTCCAAAGTGCTGGGATTATAGGCATGAGCCACGGCGCCCAGTCAGTTTTTTAATGAAGGTGCAATAGCAATTCGACAAAGGAAGTATAGTCTTCAACAAACGGTGCTGGAATGACTGGACATCCACAGACAATGGGTTCTCCACCTAAACCTCACACCTTATATAAAAGCTAACTGAAAATGTATAATCTGCAACTATAAAACTTTTAGATAAACACATAGGGGAAATTTTTCTGGATCTAGGGCTAGGCAAAGAGTTCTTGGACTTGACATCCAATGTATGATCTATAAAAGGAAAACTTGATCAATTTGACCTCATCAAACATTTTTAAAAAGTCTTTATGAAAGACCTCGCTAAAAGGATAAAAATACAGGCTACAGAATGGAAGAAAATATTTGCAAATCACATATCCAGCAAAGGACTAGTATCTAGAATATATAAAGAACTCTCTAGTATGTAGAATAGATAAAGAACTCTCAAAAATCAGCAGTTAAAAAAAAAAAATCCCCTAAACCTGAGAATATGTTAGGCTACATGCCAAAAGGGAATTCAGGCTTCAGACAGAATTAAAGTTGTTATTCAGCTGGCTTTAAAATGGGGAAATTATCCTGGCTTATCTGGGTGGGCTCAGTGTGATTACCAGGATCCTTAAAAGTGGGAGAGAGACACAGCAAAGAGTCAGACAAAGAGATTTGATGACAGAAGCTGAGCCTGAGAGTACAAGGAGAAAACTCACATATACATACATGGTCCCCTCACTGATGACAAAGGTGCTAAGGTCTTATATATAGTGGGGGAAAAGATAATCTTTTCAATAAAAGCTGTTAGGTCAACTGGATAATTCACATGGGAAAAATAAATAAATCTTGACCCCCACCTCATTCCTTATACAAGAGTAACTTCCACATGTATCATAGATCTAAATATACAAGGTAAAATAATAATGCTTTCACAAGAAATCATAGGAGAATATTTTCATCATCCCAGGGTGGGCAAAGTTTTCTTAAACATGGTACCAAAGAGTTCTAACCATAAAGAAAAAATTGATAAATTGGAACACATTAAAACTAAAAACAGCTCTTCATAAAAAGACACCATAAAAAATGTGAAAAGAGAAGCTGAAGAGAGAGGGAAGATATTCTGTACAGAAAGCTCATGCCCAGAATATATGAAGAATTCCTACAAATCAATAAGAAAAAGACAACCCAATGAAAATAAAGAAACACAGTTTATTTAAGAGGAGTTTCAAATTGACAGGAAACAACAGTGTTTCACTTAATTAATCGTCAGGGTAATGCCAGTTAGAAACACAGTGCAGTACACTCCATACCCAACAGAACGTCTAAAATCAAAAACAGACAATACTGAGTTTGATAAGGACTCACGGCTGGTGCAAGTGTAAATTGGTACATATTGAAAAACTGTTTGGCAGTATCTACCAAAGCTGAGCATATGACAAAACCATTTGTGGAAAAATGAAATTAAAAGATAAAAATAAAAAATATAAACTTTATTTCTTAACGTTAGCTTCATGAAGTTCAAGACACTTCTGTAAGGGATGATATCAGCTATTTAGTCCATCCCTAAAGAACTGAGGGTCCTGGGAATTTAACTATGTCAACGATGTCTTTTAAATACTATTAACTAAAGAAAAATGGGTATTTTTAAAGTTTTTTTTTTTTTTTTTTTTTTAAGATTAGGAAACAAAAAGAAGTCAAAAGGAGCCAAATCAGAACTGTAAGGTGAATGTCTATTGATTTCACATGGAAACTTGCAAAATTGCCTGCTTTGCTGAAGGGAATGAGCAGGAGCATTGTGGTGGAGAAGGACTCTCTGGGGTAGCTTCTCCGGGCATTTTTCTGCCAAAGCTTTGACCAACTTTCTCAAAACACTCTCATAATAAGCAAATGTTATTGTTCTTTGGCCTTCCAGAAGGTCAACATGCAAAATGCCTTGAGCATCCCCAAAAAACTGTTGCCATTGACTGGACCACTTCCAGCTCTTGGTAACCACTGCTTTGATTGTGCTTTGTCTTCAGGATAGTACTGGTAAAGCTACATTTCATCTCCTGTTGCAATACTTTGAAGAAATGCAACTGTGATCTTAATCCCACTGGTTGAAAATCTGCACTGAAAACTCCGCTCTTGTCTGCAGCTGATCTAGGAGCAACGGTTTCAGCACCCACTGAGTGTAAAGTTTGCTCAACTTTAATTTTTCAGTAAGAAGTGTATAGGCTGAATCAACTGACATGTCTATGGCACTGGCTATTTTTTTGTACTATTGTCAGACCTCTTCAATTAGGGAACAAACAAGATTAATTTTTGGCCAGCACAGTGACTCATGCCTGTAATCACAGCACCTTGGGAGGCTGATGTAGATGGATGGTTTGAGTCCAAGAAGTTGAGACTGACGTGGGCAACATGGTGAAATCCCACCTCTACTAAAAATACGAAAAATTAGCCAGGCATGGTGGTGCACACCTGCAGTCCCAGCTACTTGGAGGCTAAGGTGGGAGGATCACCTGAGCTCAGGAAGTTGAGGGAGCAGTGAGCTGAGATGGCATCATTGCACTCCAGCCTAGACAATAGGAGTGAGATGCTGTCTCAAAAAAAAAAAATTCTTCAAAAATTTACATGGATAGAGTCTGCTGCTGTGGGCTTCATCTTCATCTTATTTCTTCTTAAGACAAGGTATCATTTGTAAACTGTTGATTTCTTTGGGGGCACTGTCTCCATAAGCTTTTCCTAAGGCATCAATGATCTCATCATTCTTCCACCCAAGCTTCACCATGAATTTGATTTTCGTTCTTGCTTCCATTTTAGCAGAACTCACTTTGCTCTACTGGAGGCTCTTTTCAAACTCGTATCTCACCCTTCTTAGAGCCTCACACTAGATCCTGTTCAGATATGTTGTAACAAGTTAGTATGAGTTTATTTTGGTGTGAAAAAATTTGAAATCATGCACAGCTTTTTCATAATATGTATTTTTCATGTACATTTTGAAGACTCCTGGAATATATGAGGTTCGAATACAGGCAAAACTAATCTACGATATTAGAAGTCAGAATAGCAGAGTTGGAGCGGTGACTCCGAGGGAGCGTGAAGATGCTGCTGGAGTGCTGGTAGTTTTCTTTTCTTGATATGGGAGCTAGTCATAAGAGGCATTTTCTCTTTACGAAAGTACTTTCCTGAATGTATGTCAGACTTCAACAATAATTTAACCAAAAACATATACACTTTATGACATGGCCTCAAAAAACATACAACGCAAGATGAGCAGTAGTACAAGAAATAATTGACAAGTCTAAAATCATGGGCAATTTCTAACATGCCTCTCTCAGGAATTAATAAAAACAAGCCAACAAAAAATTAAGTGAGGAAATAGAGAATATGTATCAATAAAATTAACAAGCCTGATCTAATGAAAATATAAAAATCATAACCCAATAATTCAAGAATAAACATTCTTTTCAAACTTACATAGACATTTACAAAAACTGACTACATACGATTCCTCCAAGCAAGTGTTAACAACTACCAAATAATCAGCATCGCCTAGTCTGTATTCTGACAACGATGTAATCCAAGTGGTATCAAAAACAAAAGTGTCAGAAAAAAAGAACATACACATCTGAAAATGTAAAAGCCCACGTCTAAATAATTCATGAGTCAAAGAACAAATCTCATGGAAATAAAATATTTAAAACTAAATGGCAATGTAAACACTACCTATCAAAACTTGGGGAATGCTGTTGAAGCAGTAGTCAGGACATTAATAGCTGTAAATGCACACATCAAAATGAAGAAAGTTTAAAAATTCATGAATTCAGAACTGAACTCAGAAGGTAAACACTGAGAAGTGTATTGGCTGAGTCAGACGGAGCCTGTGCCTTATGCCCCTGCAGTGACATCAGAGACAAAATGATGATGTTGGTACCATGGGGATCCCGGGCAGCTTCACAAAAGAGTTCCATGCTCCGGCCGGGCGCGATGGCTCATGCCTGTAATTCCAGCACTTTGGGAGGCCAAGGCGGATGGACCATGAGGTCAGAAGATCAAGACCATCCTGACTAACAAGGTGAAACCCCTCCTCTACCAAAAATACAAAAAATAGCTGGGTGTGGCAGCGCAGGTCTGTACTTGGGAGGCTGAAGCAAGAGAATCGCTTGAACCCGGGAGGCGGAGGTTGTAGTGAGCTAAGACCATGCCATTGCACTTCAGGCTGGGTGACAGAGTGAAACTCTGTATCAAAAAAATTAAAAAATGAGGTATAATAAGGGCTGGACACAGTGGCTCACGCCTGTAATCCTAGCACTTTGAGAGGCCGAGGCAGGCAGATCACCTGAGGTCGGGAGTTTGACCAGCCTGGCTAACACGGTGAAACCCCGTTTCTACTAAACATACAAAAATTAGCTGGGTGTGGTGGCTCATGCCTGTAATCCCAGCTACTCTGGAGGCTGAGGCAGGAGAATCGCTTAAACCGGGGAGGTGGAGGTTGCAGTGAGCTGAGATCTCGCCGTTGCACTCCAGCCTGGGCAACATGGGTGACAAGAGCAAAATTCCATCACACACACACACACACACACACACACACACACACACACACAATGAGGTATAACAAATACAATAAAGCACACAACTCAAGTGTGTAGCTGATGGATTTCTACATATGCCACATGCATACACCCACGTAGCCACCACCCGGATTAAGATGTAGAACGCTGCTGGCATCTCAGAAGGCTCCTTTGAGCCCTCTCCTAATCTGTTAGTACCGTCCAACTTTTTCCACCAAAAATTAGTCTTGTCTGTATTTGAACTTCCTATAAATTAAATTGCTCATTCAATAGTCTTGTGTGTCTTGCTTCTTTCGCTCACCTTGAGGACATCCATGTTGTACGTAGCTGCAGCTTGTTCTTCATTGTTCTGCAGTATTCCAGGGTATGAATATATTACAGGTTACTTCCACCATTCTACTGTTGGATATTCAGGTTGTTTCCAATCTGGGGCTGTTATAAATAAAATCGCCATGAACATCCTTGCACTCGCATCCACCAAAGGACGCTTCCGTCTTTTGATGGATGTAAACATCTATTTCTATTGGGTATAAACCCCAGAGTGAGATTGCTGAGTCAGAGGTATGTGTGCCTTTAACATTTAGATTGCCAAATGTTTCCCCAAAGTGGCTATGCCCATTTATATTCCAAAGAGCAACAAACGACAATTCTAGTTGAAGCATGCATTGCTTTTCTTTCTCTTTCTTTCTTTCTTTTCTTTCTCTCTCTTTCCTTCGTTCCTTCCTTCCTCCTTTCCCTCTCTCTCTTTCTTTCTTTTTTTCTCTCTTTTTGAGACAGAGTCTCATTCTGTTGCCCAGGCTGGAATGCAGTGGTGTGATCTTGTTTCACTGAAACCTTTGATTCTCAGGTTCAAGTGATTCTCCTGCCTCAACCTCCAGAGGAGCTGGGATTACAGGCGCATGCCACCACATCTGCCTAATTTTTTTGTATTTTTAGTAGAGACAGGGTTTCACCATGTCTCTGGTGAAAACTGGTCTCAAACTCCCGATCACAAGTGATCTGCCCGCCTTGGCCTCCCAAAGTGCGGGGATTACAGGCAAGAGCCACCGCGCCCAGCCTGCATTACTTTTATAATCTGAAAAAAAAAATGCTATTTAGAGAAGTAAGAGGAACAGCAAGAGAAATCCTTTTTCTAGACAAACTCTGTAATTAGCAGCAAATTTAACAATATAGAAAATATATTATTCTATACTTAACTGGTTTACAGAGATATCAGAAGGAAGTTTGGCTTGGTGGTTAAGTGCTCTGGCACTGGAGTCAGACAACCGAAATTCACACTTCAGCCCTGCAGATTGCCAGCTGTGTGATCTTCAACAAACTAGGAAGTCTCTGTGCTCCTTCGTTTCTTTGTCTATAATTAGAATAATATTACCTTACCGGATCACTATAAGGAATGATAAGATAATGCTTGTAAGATCCATAATATGTGCCTGAAATATGGCAAGAGTTCAATAAATGTTAGCTACTACTGGTATTATTGGTATTTATACTAATATTAGGTGGTGACTATTAGCATTCTTAGTCTGGATGTGTGACAAGCCTCTATTACTAAGAAGCATTTGATAATTAATTCTCCATTCCCATTCTCTCCCCATTTCGACACTGATCAATTCTTATGAAGTTCCTCAGTAATTTATATAATCGTAGAAATTTTTCTCTCAAATGGTCGGATGCCTTGAATGGCTTTTAGACTCAATTTAAGAAACAGTTTGCGAGTGTTGCTGGGGGAAAACGCATTTAATGTGGCAAAACCAAATTATCTCCTAATGCACAAGGGAATCCATGTAAGCAGTAAACAGCTGATAAAAATATAAACACTTTTTTTCTCCTAGTTTCATGTGGCCTTAAACGTAATTATTAAACTTACATGTCAAGACAAAGCACACACAATTAGCACAATTTTCAAAGTCATACTGTCTTCAAATCACACGAATTACTTATTCAACCATGGAACAATACAAAGCCTTTCCAACTAATTTAACCCAACAAGTTGGTTTTATTTTTGGGCCCATCGTGGGGTCTTCGGATGGCTTTTGAAAAAATCCATATCAAGTCTCATTAGGAACACTGATCATATTTTGAACAAAATGCTAATGTTATAAAACATTTTAAAATGTAATCTCTTCTATATGCCAGTCACAGCAGAACTTTCATTTTCAATATAATGTTATTTTCTATTGAGTCCTAAGGCAAAGTCTTATCATGGAACGGATAGGTGTGAGTGGCTACGTTTCAAATGCAATCGATTCATTGACACATTACAACTGAAATGGCTCCACTTGCTTCCGCCCCACTGCCCAGCAGAATTTCTCTTGTTGATATCTTTGTGTTGGAAATGTATAAGGTAAAGGTATCTGTGAGGTCAGACTTGGCAATTCATGGCCTCCACAAGGGGCCTTTCTTATGTCCTGGTACTAGGGCTTGGCTTTCTGCAGAGAAAGGAGATCCCCCAGTTTTCCTTGCTCTGCGCTTACACAGTCACGGTCCTTTCTTTGCAGGCAATGCCTCCTCTTGGGCACACAGCAGGTCCCTTTTTCCCTATAGAGTCTCATAACTGGGGCTGTGTTAATAACTGTGGGCCAGGGTAGTCATAGTAAGATGCCACTGCCTTCCTTCTACCTAACAAAATGCATTCCCCCAGGAGGAAAAAAACAAAATAACCACCAGGAAGCCACAGGCCATACACCTACTGACAAGCGATCTCTGGAGGTATTAGCTTTAGCTGTGGCTGTTATTTGGATGCCATGAGTGGAGGACCACATTCCAGACACAAGATCTGTGACGCGAGGACCCTACCCCAGCTGCTTCTTTCTCAAAGAAGCCCTGCCTTCCTTTGTTCTTTTATATTAATGGCCTTTGATGATCTGCAAGACGGTTCTCATTTCAGCTGATCTTTAGGAAACATTTGGGGAGAGGAGGCACTCCTTTCAAATCACCTTTCTTTAGACAGGTTCTGATCCGGTGATTCAAGGCCGCATCCTGGCCATCTGGTTTCTGTAGCTCAGAGAATTACTGCTCCTGATAAATTGCTCTGAGTTCTGAGGCTACTGCTGTCATATTGCATTTTATGACCATTTTCCAGGTTTCTCAAGACACACACACACACACACACACACACACACACACACACACACTCCTCAAGCCATTAGACTCCATTCCCATGTAGTATCCAAATAAGTTTTACAGCAAAACACACTAGAGAGAGTGTAGCTAGCACAGCACAAGAAGCATACAGGAAGGGCTCAAAAAAGTTGCATTGAATGGAAAGCTTTGGAGCCCTTCCTGTATGGGAGACAGGGACGGAGCTGGAGAGTCTCCCAGAGCACTTGCCAGGGGCAATCAGGTCTGAGGGGTGGAACCCAGGCAGAGACACATTTTAAACTGCTTAACAACGGGTTCCCTGGAAGGAAGGAGTGGAGCGTGAGCTCCCCATCTCTGGATAAGTACAAGCCAAAGTCGTACAACCACCTGATGGGGACACTGTGAAAAAGAATTCAACCTCACATTGGTGGTTGAGGCCCGGTACAGTGGCTCACGCTTGTAATCCCAGCACTTTGGGAGGTTGGGGTGGGCGGATCACAAGGCCAGGAGATTGAGATCATCCTGGCCAACATGGTGAAACCCCGTCTCTACTAAAAACACAACAAAATTAGCTGGGCCTGGTGGCATGCACCTGTAGTCCCAGTTACTGGAGAGGCTAAGGCTGGAGAATCCCTTGAACCCAGGAGGTGGAGGTTGCAGTGAGCCGACATCGCACCACTGCATTCCAACCTGGCGACAGAGCGAGACTCCGTCTCAAAAAAAAAAAAAAAAAAAAATGGCTGTTGAATTGGAACAACTCAAAAAAGAACAGAAAGAGGAATGAGGGAGAGGAAATGAAAGGAAGACATTTTATTTTAATGTAATTAAATAAGTTAAATTAATAAAATTTTAAAAGAGGTAGGAAGAAGGCCAGAGGCTGGGGACAATTCTGTGCATGTGCCAAACCTTTGGACAGAAACTAGAGTGTTCCTGAGAGGGCTGGGATCTTAGTGGGCAGTTGGCAGAGTGTGCCAGCACCCTGGTCCTTGGCCACCAACACCTAATCCTTTCTGCCTGTGGGTGGAGCCTTCGGGCCTGGCCACGCCCAGAAATCACAAGATCTAACTAAGTCGTGTTTGCTCATCCATTAGGAAGCGTGGCCCTGGAAAAACAGGGGCAGAGCTTTCAGCTCCTCTCCATCTGCCTTAGTGGCACTCAGAATCTAGAGGGTCTCGAGGAGGGTCCCCAATTCTTAGGACAGGGAGGGAAAGGAAGGGGCCTGTCTTCCCACAAGAGACCCATGGGTCCCCAATTCTTAGGACAGGGAGGGAAAGGAAGGGGCCTGTCTTCCCACTAGAGACCCATGACCAGAGGACTGAGTTGCACCAAAACTGCCGAACACTCACTGGCCCAGCCAGGCCTGTTCGCAGAGAAGCAATCATATGGGTGGATTCTTAAACAGGCCCTAGGAATTGGGCCAGTCCTTGCCCCCTGCTCGGAGGTAGGATTTGCCAGCGGAACAAAGCAGCTATCTTCCTAAAAGATAATATTTCTTAGTTGTGTCCCAGCTAGTGGGGTGGACTGCAGTGTTGGGCTGTGACCAGGGGCAGGGCTCAGTCTGTGGCCCTCAGAAGGGAATTTTTCTCCAAAACAGCTTTGCTGGTCTGGGAAGGGAACTTGGGCTCAGGCCCCAGGAAATGTCACAGTCACCACCTGTGCCAGAAGACAGAGCTGAGGCTGGGGTAGGACGCTGAGCACCCCAGCTTGGGCCTGTTTCCCAGCCTGGACTGGTCCAATTAGGAAGACGCAGGAAGAGGACAAGCAATTGGAAGCAGGAAGAAGGGAGAGGAGAGACGGAATCTTTATCTGCTTGCCATTTCTGCCGCTTTCCCCTTCCACCTCTCTTCCCCGCCTCTTTCCATCTTAATGGGATTCAACTGAAACACACAGCAACCCAATGCCCTGCTTTAGGCTGGGCAGGAGCACAGCCTCCCTTCTTGATCCCCCATCTCTCCCGTTCCCCACCCAAGAAGCCCCCTTTCTAGGACTATGAAATCAGTGTTTTCAACCCTGGATCCACAGGTGCGCCCCCTTAGCACCCCCTGACAGTGGTCCATGCATCATTCACTGAGTGCTCCCCACCCACCCACACAACACACACACTTGAATCAGCCTGGCCAGGTTCTCCCCTGTTCCTGCTTTACATCATTCACCCGCTCGGACCTTGGTGTTATTTGTGACTTTTCTTGTGCAAGCCACAGCAGTTTAGTTCCTATGAATCCCATCCCTTCCCACCAGCTTCTCAGGGAACTCAAGGGCTGATGTGGAGACAGAAACTGGGCAGTGTGACACCACACACAGCCACACCCCACTACACCAACCGTCTCTAGTGAAGGGGGCGCTGAGGCCCTCGAGTGCAAATGTGCGTGTACACACACTCAGACTCCGTGTTTAGGGTCTGCAGACACCCTCCTCTTGCGACGTCCCCCTACTCACTTCCAGCCTGCCCTCGTTTTTTGTCACCCCACCCTAGAGTTGGAGGCACCAAGAGCAAGGCTAGATGCAAACACCTGGCAAAAAATCACGGGACGCTCACACAAACACGAAATCACACAAAGGATCCCAACGGGAGGCTCCAGGGACGCCCTCCGTCCGCGGTTTGCTCCTTCATCGTCCAGGCCTCCTTCCTCTGTCCCCTGACAAAAAGTCACCGAGCCCAGTTCAAATCGATTGTTTTATTGACTGTTTACATACAGACGCGTTTAGAAAAGGGCACGGGCTCCGGGAGGCTACTCCGCCCCAGGCCCGCGCTTGTGCTGCGCTGCGCGGAGAGGGCCGGTTCCGAGGACTGAAACTCCCCCCGCCCCAACCCCCACGCTTTCTTTCAAAATGGAAAAAGAACCTCGCCCCAAGTCGTCGCGCCGCGCCCCTCCCCTTCCCTCCCTCCCCTCCCATCTGCCCCACCGCCCGCCCCCCTACATGACACGGTCACACTTTACAAAACACTGACTTTTCTCCTACAGGGCACGCTTGTCTAGGACTACACGCCGGGCAAATACGATTCCCGCCGAAGCAGGGGAGGGTGGGGCGGGGCGGGGCGAGGACCGAGACGCGAGGACGGAGGGGCTGGGCTCGATCAGGATCCAACCGCAGAGTCACGCGCAGGCTTTGTGCGAACTAGGGCGCGAGCTATCCCCCCACCCACGACAGCGGCGGCACGGGAGGCCGCAGTCAGCTTCCCCCGCTCCCGGTGCTTTCTAGCTAGGTTCTGGGCGGGTGGAGCCGTGGGAGCTGCGCTGTCTGGCGCATGGACCTCCGGAAAGCCCAACACACGGACAACGAAATTGGCCCGGGACCAAGTCCGCGCGCTTCGCCGCCAAGGGGCGCGCGGTCCTGCGGCGCTTGAAGTTAGGAGAAAGATGACAGAAAACGCATTCCCTCCCCACCCCGCGACACACACACCGGATTTTCCCAAAGCCTGGGAAGGGGGTGCTAGCACCAGACCCGAAATGTCTCTGTTTTTGAAAACAACGAAAATAGGAAAATCTGAGCGCGGAGCTGAACGGCGCCCCAGGCACCGGGCTGGACTCCCAACAGGCCAGAAGTGGGGTGGGGGTGGGAGGACGGAGGTTTTGATTCCCCGCGGGGAGGGGCATTTGGAACTAAAAACTAGAGGTTGCGGTGAATCCTGACTTCTGGGAGTAGGGATTGAAAGGGAGGAGGGGCCGGGCGCCGAGGCTCACGTTTGTAATCCCAGAACTTTGAGAGGCGGAGGTGGGCAGATCACGAGGTCAAGAGATCCAGATCATCCTGGCCAACATGCCGAAATCCTGTCTCTACTAAAAATACAAAAAATTAGCTGGGCGTGGTGGCGGGCGCCTGTAATCTCAGCTACTCGGGAGGCTGAGGCAGGAGAATCGCATGAACCCGGGAGGCGGAGGTTGCAGTGAGCCGAGATCACCGTCACTGCACTCCAGCCTTCCGTCAAAAGGAAAGAAAAAAGGAGAGAGAGAGAGAGGAAGGAGGAGGAGGAGGAGGAGGAGGAGGAGGAGGAGGAGGAGGAGGAGGAGGAAGGAAGGAAAGAAGGGAGGGAGGGAGGGAGGGAGGGAGTCGACGTCGAGGCGGGACCCCACTGCACTCGACTGGCCCCGTCTGGCCCCAGAACCACGGCGTTACCACGAGGTTTCCAAGGTCTTCGCTCTTTTTCTCTGGCTCCAGAGCCTGTGATGGCTTCCGGGCAGATTTCGCAGATAATCGCGATGGGAATGGAGGGGCATAGATATCGCCCCATCGTCTGCGGGTGGTGTCTTACATGGGGGAAGAGGGACACTGTGCTTGGCGAGGAAGGGGGATCCAGCCCGCAGGGAGAATGGCAGCCGTGGGTAGCAGGGACTGGTGAAATCGGCCCACTCCCTACTAGAAGTCCCTGGTATTTCAAGGTTGGGGAGTAGTAAGGGGGAGGAGTAGGTGAAGGTTGAGGGTGGGGGAAAGAAGTCCTGCCAAGCCCTAGACTGCTGCTCCCAGGCACCCTAGGTGGAGGTCGGGAATGGGTGACCCTTGGTGGAGGTCGGGAATGGGCGGGCCCGGTGGGCCGAGGTTCAGCCTGCCGTCTGCCTGTAGTTGCCATTAATCTCCTGGGCGATGTTGACCGCCTCGGCTCCCAGGGGCAGCCGATCGCTGTACTCAGAGCCCGCCTCGAACTCCTCTTGGTTGGCCTTGGAATGGGACTCCACCAGTGAGCAGGCCGCCAGGCTCTCCTCTCTCTGCAGGTCCCCACTCAGGTCTCCCTGCTCCGCGTCTTCCTCAGGGCCCTCCCCCTGCGCGTCCTCTGGCTCCTCGACGCCAGCTTCGCCGCCTGCCGGGTAGCTTTTCTCGGATTCGAGGTAGGAGGCACGCGGGTCGAAGTCAGCGGCAATGCGCTTCTCCATGGGGTCGGGGGCCTGAGGCCGCAGGATCAGACGGTAGGGCTTGCCCGGGTGTTTAGCCAGCAGATGGCAGCAGGCGGCGCCCAGAAGGGGAACTGTGGCCAGCACCAGGAGGAATACGCTCACTGCCACGATGACCAGCAGCGAGGGCAGCTCCTTCTTGGTGGAAAACACCACTTGCACGTGGCAGGCTTCGCCCGCCAGCGCCAGGCACACGGAGTAGTTGGTACCGGGCCGCAGGCCGCGGAACCAGTAGGCGTTGACGCCTTCCTCCACGCGGGACCACTGCACTGCCGCGCCGCCCCCCGCTGGACACAGATAGAGTAGGCGCAGGGGTCGCCGCCCAGGTCGCCGTACTCCCCCAGTCCCGCCGGGCCCAGGGCCCCAGCGCGCAGCCAGCGGCGTCAACTGCACCCGCGCCTCGCGCTCCGCCACATCCAGCGCGATGACGCCCAGCTCGAAGACGTGCGGCTTGAGCTCTGCGCTCTGGTTGAACGCGTGGTTAGAAACGTACCGAGAGGGGTCCCCGTTGCCACAGCGCTGCTCCTCCGCCGGGTCCGCGAGGATCTGGTCTTCGATCTCCTCTCCCTCACCTGTGTCCTCCTCCGGCTCTGTCTCGGTCTCCCCGAGAACGCTGACCTTCGCCAAGCCTTGGCCTTTGATTTTGCCTTCGGGTTTGGAAGGCAGGACGCTGTTGCCCCGGGCCTTGGCTGTGGACTTGCGCTCAGAGGTTGGGGCCTGCCCGTCGGGTTCTCCCCCGGCGCCAGGCGCGTGTTTTGGGGGCCCGGTTGCCGCCACCGCCACGCGTACTGACGTAGAGTTAGTGCCCAGCTCATTGTGTGCACGGCAAGTGTAGACGCCCGCCTCCTTGGCACTCAGGAGGGGCACCAACAGGGAGCCGTTTACGAGGGCCAGGAAGCGCGGGGTGGCTGGGGGCGCCGGCCAAGCGGGTGCCGGTGTTGGGGTTGGGGCTTGGGTCTGCGTCAGTACGTCCCCGTCTCCTTCTCCCTCTCCTTCCTCCACCCCAACCCCGTCGTCCTCCTCTCTCTGAACCGGCGGCTCTAAGACTACGGTGCCACCGGGGATCTGAAGTTGCCACTGCAGGCGAGGCGTGGGGTGGCCGTCCGCGGTGCAGTGTAACAAGAACGCCAGTCCGGCTCGCAGTGGGGTGCCTGGTGCCTCAAGCGGCGGCTCAGCACTCAGACGCACGCTGGGGGGTGCACAGGGCAGGGCGGGCAGGCGGTGCACCGGCACCCCCTGCAGCGCGGGAGGCGAGGCACAGGCAATGGAGTCGGGCTCGGGTAAGGACACCCGGGTGCTCGCGGCCCAGGCCTGCAGCCACACAAGGCCGCAGCCGCAGTGGAAAGGATTGTGATAGAGTTGCAGGTGTGACAGCGCGCTGAGCGCGTCGAAGGTGCCGGGCGCCAACGTACGCAGCCGGTTGTTGTTGATACGTAGGGAACGCAGGTCGGGTAGCGCACCGAGTGCGTCCCGGGGCAGAGAGCCCAGGCGGTTGTGGTTCATTTTGAGCAGCTGCAGCGCGCTCAGGTTGCGCAGGTCGCTCCACGGAAAGTTGGATATGAAGTTGTGGCTCAGGTCAAGGTTCTTGAGCTGACTCAGCACGGCCAGTGCGCCTGGCTCCACGGTGCGCACCTCATTGTGCGCCAGCCACAGCGACGTGACCTGCGTGACATCCGCAAAGGCCCCGCGCCGTAGCACCGAGATCTTGTTAGCAGATAGACTAAGCGTGGTCACGTTGGCAGGCAGTCCTTCGGGCACCTCGCGCAACTCCTTGTAAGCGCAGTCCGCGAACTGGTGAGCGTACTTGTCCACGCAGGCGCACGGCTCCGGGCAAGCTCCAGCCACTCCTAGAAGCGCCCAGACCAACCACAGGGCCTGAAGGAGGAACATCGCGGCTCCTGCAGATAGGGAAGCCAGGGGAAGAGGAAAGAAGGTGACTCATCGAACCCCAGCTTACCTCGCTTCTCCAGCTCTGCTTCCGGAAACCTGTCTAGCGCAAGTGCCAGGGCTCCGGGAACCGCCTCTATGGCCAGGAGCCTCTCTTGGCCAGAAGTGGAGGTCAATAAAAATCTCGGGGTTCAACAGATGCTGCCCCACAGGGCCCTAATTTCCTTTTCCAGAGGCCGGCACATCGCTCTTTTTCCCTCCCTACTCCTTCCTTCACGCTGGAGCTGGCGCCTCCGTAGGCTCCGCAGCTCGCCAGTCTCCAGCGGGCTCCGCACGGACTCCTCTCTTGGTTTCTAAGACTTCATTTAACCCTGTGAAATGGATACCCAGGAAGGATATTTTTGTCCGTGACGGGCTGTCCTCCTTGGAACCTTTGTCCCACGCACAGCACTCACACACGCCCATGCAGGCGCACAACAATACAAACAGATGCTGGGGATTCATCATCAAACCGGCAGCTTCCGCAGGGGTTTAGAGGACCTGATGCTCTATTGGGAGGCTCACAACACATTTCCTAAACTCACAAACACATATGCACCCAGGCATGGACACAATAGATCCTGGAGACCTTATTGTTCTCTTAACGGAACCGGCGTTTGTACAGAGTTTTCCACCACCATACAAAGCACTTTTCTGTCCATTGTGAAATTGACAGACACAAGGACGTAAGTCCTCACAAAATGCGACCCACCCACAGAAACACAGGCGTGTGCCTGTGTGTGCACACAGCCCTCCACTGGGACCAAAACCCAGCAGAGAAGCAATAGGAGAACCTGCCCTGCCTGACTTGAGTCGTGGGATCTGGAGAAGCCCACCCCCATGCCCTTCTGCAGCCAAGGCCAAAGTCACCTGCCCCGGGCTGCAGCTCCTGTGAGCGGAGAAGGGCTGCTCTGCCAACCTTCCTTATGGGGAAGGAGGTTCTCCCCCATGCTTGGACCAGGTGTGTTGGGGGAGCAGTCACTAGAGCTTCCCTTAGGTCCCCCAGATGGCTCCCGGTGGCAGAAGTGTCCTCAGCCAGCAGGTCATGGGGCTGCCACTAGCTAATGAAGCTGGAGAAGGTGAAAGATTCTGCACCTTTCTCAACAGCTCTGCGGTGCCTAAGGACCCTCTCCCCATAGCACCTTAAGCCCGGTCACACAATCGAACTTGCACAGACTCCCTGCCCCCATTTGGAGGGCCTGTCAGGTTTGGCAGAGCCCCTCCCACACCGTCTGTGGGAACCTATTCCTTCACTCTGCCTTTGCTTCTCTCGGAGGATCCCTCCCCTCCCTTCCCGGTTCCTCCCAGACAGCACCTCCCCACCCCACCCCCGCCCCGCCCCCCATCAGGTGCCCAAGGCCGGACCTTTCCCCACTTGGGTCAAGGTTGTGGGGTAGCCCCCATCGCTTACCTGATATTCGTCGACTCCCAATAAATGCTCTGGAGCTGAAACCCCTTCTCCAGACCCGGTGTAGTGGATCAGGGACCACTGCCGCAAGAAGATACCCGCGTGTATTGTGGCTGTGGGGAAAACGGGGAGGAGGCGGGGAAAGGGACAGGTAAGTTCGGAGAATCGATGGCCCCAAAGTACCACTTCGGTTTTTCCCTTCGCGTCCGCTCCCCCCACCTCTCTGGCTGCAGGTTGGAGAAAGTCCTTGCGCGCTCCCGGGCCTGGCGGGGACGCGCACGGCCTCTCCCACCTCCTGCTTCCTCTACTTTTGTTAAAGCCACGGAGACCCTCCCCAAGGCCAAGACACGTCGGTCACAAGGGGCGTTCCTCGCCCACCGTCCTGGGTGGGCTCTTCGCAGCCTACTGCACCCCCATAACCCACCTACCCTCACATTTACACACCCGGTGACATCGTTACTGTCCATCATCACATCGCTCCCCACCCCACGTTCAAACACATTCGCGCACACACCTCACATCCCCATAGTCGACCTTCACACGCTACAATCATCCAGGATCAGGTAATAATCGCATCAATATGTTGAGGCCCCACTACATTCACACGCATTTTCACGGGCACACCTGCACCCGGGACACTCACCGTTCTCCTCTCGCACACACAGACACACATTCGCGCGAACTCACCCTCACGCGCCTGTCCCGCCAGTGCCCGCGAGCTTCGCTGCTAATTGAATGCAAGCGGCTTTCACGCCCTGCAACACGTGAGACAAACCATCTTTGAGGAATTTGGGGGAAGGAAAGGCGCGCAGCTGAAGTGGGGGGGTAGGCGTGTCTTTGCCTTTAAACTCTTTTTGCAAATGCAGGCGGTGGCACCAAGAGACCTCCAGCGGGACCCGCTGAGCTGCGCGCAGCCGAGCTCGCGCGGACCCATCCTTCCCGCACCCCCTGCTGCTAGCCTCCTCCTCCCCGAAGCCACGTTCAACACAATGCATAATTGATAGTGTTAGCAGAGCGCCTCGCCCTCCCTGCCATTTTTGCCTGGATCTGGGCTGGTATAAGCCCTAGTCTCCCCCGCCGCCCCCTCTCCACCCCGCCTGCTAGTCTAACCCGAGACCAGAACGCGCAGCCCTGCAGGGCGTGCTGGGAAGGGACGCCCACCTCCCCAGTCCACAGCAGCCCTGCCCAGCGTCTTAAGCCGGAACTCTTTACATCTAGTCTTTTGTGGCTAAACCAGCGCTTGAAGCCCACTGCCCCACGCATTGGCCTGCGCGCACCACGGGACAGGTGGAACAGGGGGAGGCTCTTCCGAGCGCACCCAAGCACCTCACTTTCAGGTCTTGCCTGCTCCAGGACAGTGGGGCACAGAAGCTGCAGCAGGCAGTAGCACAGACAAGGATGATGGCAAAACGTCCGCTACTCTTGAGCCTTGAGCGCTTTGGGCTGGGGACTTCAGGCCGGAGCATTTCTCCCATCCTCGCCCCCCCCATGTCTTCACAGCCTCTCAAGCAGACACACGGTCAACCCGACGCGCACTACCCCCCAAGCCGCGGTAGCCCCCCACCGCCCCGCCGTCTCACACCCTCACACAACAGCCGGCTTCAACAGACTTGCTGTTCCCGACTCTCGCTCCCTAGCTCTGATGAAACCCCGACATTTCTTTCAGCGACGAGGAGGCGGAGGCGCAGGGATGTCGAGGCATTTGGCTAAAACCTGGTTTCCGCCCCCTGCGCTGCCCACGTTAGCCCTGGAGACAGCTACCGACCAGAACCGGGAAAGGGGTTCAAGCTTCGGGAGACACACAGAATCCCCACCCGTTCTGTAGCCACCCAGCTCTCCCGGCGCACCAAACCCCCCAGCCATCACCGCGGGCCTTGGGGGTCTCTCGCGGTGGGTCGATGGCGTGGGTTTGGGGCTTCTGTGGAGATCAATACCCCGATTTGAGTGTTGAGCATCTTAATGAGCTAGGGGAGGGGGTGGGGAAGAGAGAAAGGCTAAGAGCGCAGCATCTAAAGAGACCACCCGGCCCTGGGTTCCGAGGCTGCTTTGTAAATTAAATATGAACAGACTGGTGCGCTCACACTCCGCGTCCCTCCCTCTCTCCTACTCCTGCGGTCGCTACAGGCGGCCCAGCGGGCTGGGACTGTCGCATCTCGCTCAGTCCAGTTCAGAACACAGAACTTCACACCGCCTACTCAGGCCTGGGGTATCCCCAGCCGACCCACGGAGGGCGCGGGGCGCCTTTCGCTGAAAGCGTCTTCCAGAAGGGTCGATGGGTGATAGCACTGTGGCCCGTCCCTGCCGGGAACCCTGTGGTGGGACAGACAGGATTGGGTCCCTAGCCTGGGAGTAAGTCCCTGAGGTTTCTAGGCCTTGCGGGGGGGGGTCGGGAGAGTGACGCAGACGGCTGGACTGGCACGGCCTTCTTTGTCTGCCGAACTTGGTGGGGGTGGGGGCGGGGAGCGGCGTCCTGGGCAGTTGTCCGGGTCTTGGGAACCCTGAGGGGGCAATCTTGAGAGCCTGTGCCAGGGAAGGATCTTAGGAGGTAGGGCCCAGCAGCTGCACCTGAGCGAGGTCTGGGATGGCGTGTCCAGGGGACTTTTCGGGACTGAGTGAGGGGCGCCAGGCCGGGAGGCTCAAGGCCCCTGGGCCCTCCCCCGGTTTTCACCTATTTTCTTTCTTTTCGCCTTCGGCGGGAGGCAGAATCTGGGTAGTGGACGGGACAATGGGCTCGCTATCTGCCCAGAGCTTCCCGGGACTTCGGGAACCAGTCCCATAAGCAACCCGGTAACCTCAGGGCCCGAGGACCAGGGAAAACCCCCTTTCCTTGCTCTCTTGACTGGATTGCAGAAGCAAGGAGTTCGGCAGGGAGACGGGGCTCTCGGGCCTGAAGGGTGGCTAAGGATGCGGTGACCATCCCTGCGCGGGCGCTGACTCCCGCGGGCCGCCGAGGCTCTAGCTCACTCTGCAGCCAATGCTTTTGTTCCCGGAGGCTGCCCTGGGGGAAAGATGCCCCTTACCCCTGCCTTCGACCCTGGAGAGCCCAGTGCCTGCCCGGGCCCGGGCAGGGCTGGAGCCGAGTCGCTCCAGGCAGAGTCCGCAGAGGCCTGGAGTGGGAGCCGCGACTTCTGGATCTGTCTCCGAGCTCAGCCAGAAGACTGCGCACACCTCGTCCCGCCCCGCCCGGCGCGCAGAAGCGGGTCTAATGTTTATAACGTTAATAATGACACAGTTACTGGAGGGCTGGGGAGCTGGGAACCGAGACATCACCCCGCCGCCTCCCACGTCTTTGATCGTTAAAGAAACAGACAACTAATCAAGTGTGTGGAAATAGGGGTGGGGGAGGGGAAGGTAATAAGATTCCAAGCCGCGATCGCAGAGGGCCACAGATTCAGAATCTGCGGAATCCAGACTAAGGCTCCTAACCAGGCTGGGACCGATCCCAGGCAGACCCAGGAATGCAGAGCTGGAGCGCCTGGCGGCTTTTGGCGGATCGACCCCTGATTTCAAAGTCGCGAACCCGGAGCGTCGGGAGGGCGGGGAGGGTTGAAACCCGTTGGATCTGGGGACTTGCTCCCGCGATTGGGTCCGCGCTGTCCTAGGGCCCAGGCCTGGTCCGCGCGCGCCCCCTGCTGGACACTGCTTGCCGGGCGCAGAGGTGGGTCAGTGTCGGAGGATGCGTGCTGGACCCCGGCAGTCCCGCGACGCAATATTCCAGTGGGGCGCGCTTAACCAAAGTTCCGAGGCTTTACTTCCCATGCCCACCCAGTCTATGTCCCAGGTATCTGCACCTCTGGTCCCCTACACAGCACAGGCGCGGTCCCTGCTTCGCGCTGCGGAGTGTTTCTAGTGCCCAGGGCATCTCCTGAGTCTTGAGCTACTAGTCCCTGACACGAAAGCTTTCTATACGCCTCTCCCACTCTCCCTTCTCTCTGAGCCTTATGACTTTGTCAGGGGCCTATTAAAATAAATGTGCGAGATCTGCAAAAGAAAGTCTGTTGGCGCCAAGAGAGGCAAAGAAAACTGCAAAATTGGAAGTAATCGATGTTTGATCGAATGTTTAGGGCATGCAACATGTGCAAACGATTCTGTTGCAACTGCACTCAGAGTGGTACATGCCCTTGTATTTTAATGTGGCACGTGGAGGATTTAATGGACTTGCCGAAGGATGTGGGAAGGGCCTCTGAGAATAAGAAAGCTGGGGCCCAGATGGGCATCAAACATCGCAGCATAGCAGCCGGCGAAGGCTGGGAAGACCTTCCCCACAGCTGCCCTCCAGCCAGAAGCCCCTGAACATTCACTGCTTCCCATCTTTCAGCTTCTGCGTTCTTACACACACACACACACACAGTTCTCTTCAGCCCCTCACCTCCAAGAAGCTGTTTTCCTTTTCTCATTTCCAGTCGAAAGATGACTGCTCAGGGAAGCCAGGCCCTGTTTATACTCCCACCACGGGCCTTTCCTTGTACAGGCAGGCTCTATGTAGTCATCAGGAGGGCAGGTTCTAGCATCAGACTCTATCATGTACTGGCTGTGTGTCCTTAGCCAAGTTATTTACCCTGTCTGTGCCTCAAGAAGAAAAGGCATAAATAACAGTATCACCCAGGCATAGTGGCTCATGCCTGTAATCTCAGCACTTTGAGAGGCCGAGGCAGGCGGATCATGAGATCAGGAAGGAGTTCCAGACCAGGGTGACCAATATGGTGAAACCTCATCTCTACTAAAAATACAAAAATTAGCTGGGCATGGTGGCACATGCCTATAATCCTCAGAAGGCAGAGGCAGGAGAATCGCTTGAAACCAGGAGGCAGAGGTTGCAGTGAGCCAAGATCATGCCACTGCACTCCAGCCTGAGCAACAGAATGAGATATGGTCTAAAAAAAAAAAAAGAAGAAGAAGAAAGAAAGAAAAGAAAAGAAAAAGCAGGGTATGGTGGCTCATGCCTGTAATCCCAACACTTTGGGAGGCCGAGACAGGCAGATCACGGGGTCAGGAGATCAAGTCCATCCTGGCCAGCAAGGTGAAATGCCATCTCTACTAAAATACAAAAAAAATTAGCCAGGCGTGGTGGTGTGTAGCCTACCTCCTGAGTAGTCTGTAGTCCCAGCTACTCAGGAGGCTGAGGCAGGGGAATTGCTTGAACCCAGGCGATAGAACATGCCATGAGCCAAGATTGTGCCACTGCACTACAGCCTGGGTGACAGAGCATGACTTTGTCTAAAAATAAAAAATAAAAATGGAAAAAAAGAGTACCTATGCTTCACTTGAAGATTAAATGAGTGAGCCGGTGTATGCAAAGCACTTAGGACCTGGCACTTAGTGCTAAGTACATGAGCTACTTTTTTTCTGCAATGGCTGAATTAGCCATTATAATTGTCTTGCAGAGCTGGACACAGGTATGATAAAATGTTCTGCTGCACACACCCCTACAGGCCTGTGTCCTGCCTCCCCAACAGGGGAGGACCTTGGCTGTGCCTTAGACCTCGCTCTTCACCACCACCAGCCCCTCTGCACGCACACACCGTGGGTGTTGGTGGCAACCAGAATTACTATGATTATCTGTTAAGGTTTCTAGTTTCAGAGACTCAGACTCAGACTCTGATGCTAGTGGCTGTCGCCAGCATGCCTGTTTGCAACTGCAGAATTGGTGGAGGGATTTTAATTAAAACTACATTCTGTTGAAGTATTTATTGGGCTTTGTGACTTTAATTATTTTCTAGGGAAAAACAAAAAATCCACATTTGCCTATGAGAAGACTGTTGATTTCAGAGGAAAGTAGCAACCTGTGGCAGTTTGCTGGAGGCAACTGAGAGGAATTTTCTGAATGGTTCAAATGAAGCTCGACATTATTAATCATCTAGGATCCAGCCTGTGACCCTCCTCCCAGCACTTTCATGAAATTAGCTTAACGTACTGGCAAGGCCTTTTATTGCCATCAAAATTAACAATAGCTCTTCCAGTGGCAGCTCATGTAATTATCTGGGTCTGTGCTTGTCTCACTGAATAAGAGGAACTCCTGCCTGGAAGAGGCAATACTCCTGCATTCAAGGGGCAACGTGGCTGAGCAAGGTGGCT